GGGGGCGCTGTTTGAAGTTAGAGGTGAAATTTTAATATGGGAAACAAGAAAAAGAAGAGAAAGGAGTAACAGGAATGAAACTGTGTCGGGTTCGCCACTGCACCAGAGGCGGAAATATCTGGGTTTAACCGGGTGGAATATCGTTTCTAGAACTGAGATGAACTAGCCACACAAGTATTTCTCTGGCCCCATCAGAGGGTGTGTAAAAAGTCTGAGGCCAACGTTTTTTTTTTAAACTGGTAATTTCACGTAAGTTGGTTTTTCTTTAAAAATATGGAAAGATTAAGGGTAACAGCACATGCTCTCCTATACCTAAAGGCAGACAGCTGGTGGCTTGTTTAGAGCAAGGGCAGGATCGAGGGAATGCGTCCCCACAGGCTGCGCGGCCACGGGAGGAACTGGACACACGTTAGGAGGTGATGTCCCTGGAGGCGCCGCCCAGTGCCTGCCGTGTAGCCCTGCGTCTGGGGGCTTGTGTTGGAGAACCTGGGCCTTTGTCTGTTTCCATTTGCAGGGTGAGAATAGCCTCCGTTTATCACCCTGTCTCAAGGCTGCTTTTAAAGACCGAGCACCTGTGGTTTCCTCTGTGTCAGACCCTGTCCCAGTGACCTGCAGGGTCAGGTCACCCGCTTGCGGGGCCAGTGGAGCTGGGCAGGTCAGGGAGGCCGTGTCCCTGCAGCGGCGGTCAGCGCGCCGCTCGGTGGGACCGAGTCTGGTCTGTGGGCCTAACGTCTCCTTTGCTCTCGTTTCCAGCGCGACGAAGACAAAGATAAAGTGGGGAGCGTGGAGTACTTCGGCCTGGGCCGCCAGCCCGGCTTCCCCCTGCAGTACTACCCCTACTACGGCCGGCTCCTGCAGCCCAAGTACCTGCAGCCCCTGCTGGCCGTGCAGTTCACCAACCTCACGCTGGACACGGAGGTCCGCGTGGAGTGCAAGGCCTACGGGGAAAACATCGGCTACAGCGAGAAGGACCGCTTCCAGGGGCGCTTCGACTTGAAGATCGAGGTTAAGAGCTGATCACAAGCACAATCTTTCCCACTAGCCATTTAAAAAGTTAAAGATACAAAAACCTACTAGTCTTGAACAAACTGTCATACGTATGGGACCTACACTTAATCTCTGCTTCACACTAGCTTTCCGCATTTAATAGGTTAGAATGTAAATTTAACGTGTAGCAATAGCAACAAAATATTTATTCTACTGTAAATGACAAAAGAAAAATACAAATTGAGCCTTGGGACGTGCCCATTTTTACTGTAAATTATGATTCCATACCTGAGTTCTAGTGAGCAGTGTTGCTGGCCCCTGAGTATTGCTGCGTATTTTATTTTATTTAGTGTACAGCCCTCTAGGTGCACACTCTGGTCATTTTCAAGCCATGTTTTATCGTATCTGTTTTCTACTTTATGTGAGCAAGGTTTGCTGTCCAAGGTGTAAATATGCAATGGGAATAAAACTGGCATGGTACTTTTTTGGGGGAGGGGGGGTTTGGCTCTTTCAAAGATAATGACCCATCAGCAAGCATTTTTAACACACTCCATAGTCTTTCCTGTGGTGTTAGGTCTTTATTTTTTTCCCTGGGGCTGGGGTGGGCTGTCATGGGGGAACTGCCCTTTGAATTTTAAGTGGCAATACAGAGGAACAGGTGAGGGGTTGTGTTGTGCTTGTATTGAATGCTGTCCTGCCCCCTCGCCTTGTCCCCCGAGCGTTCTGACGTCGGAGGGGAGCTGGCCCGCCGTCACTGGCCAGGGATCAGCCCAGGTGGTTTGGTTTGCGCAGTTTCCTTTCCTTTCTCTGGAGGCATCACGTGCTGGTGCTGTGTCTTCATGAATGTTTTAACCATTTTCATGGTGGAAGAATTTTATATTTATGCAGTTGTACAATTTTATTTTTTTTTTCTGCAAGAAAAAGTGTAATGTATGAAATAAACCAAAGTCACTTGTCTGAAAAATAAACCTTTATTTTGGACTTTATAAGAAGCAACGCAGTACCCCCTAGACTGGTGTCAGTGTTGTCTACAGTGCAGCTCCATGTCTCACGTGTGTACTAACCGCCCGGACGACAGTGCTCGTGTTGATCTTGTACTCGGTCAGGTTCAAACAGTGGACAATAAAAGAATGAACATGTTCCTCGCGTGCCTGGTTCGCTCTCGTCTGAACACTCGTCACTCGGCGGCGGCTTTGTTTCCTACCTGCTAATTATCCAAGATCTTGAAGAAATACTGGACCTGAAAGGCAAACATGATTTTGATGTAGTTCACATGGAAGGCCGGCCTTGTCCACCTACAGAGGCCGAGGGCTGGCCAGGGCTCCGGACACCAAGTGCCCCTTCCCAGGACACTACACGGGTGGGCGGGAGGCCCAGGCCAGTTGCTGAGGACCTGAGACTCAGACACATGCTGTGGTGCTACTTCACCTTGTTTAGAAAGCAAACTGGCTCCTGCTGCTGCTTCACTAGATAGGTGTTTATTTTTAAAAAGTCTAAGTTGTTAGTAGTACAGTTAAAAAAAAAATGAGGTTAGGTTTGAGGTTCAGTAAATTAAGGAAGTTCATACCTTGCTTTTTTGGTTCGTGGTTTGGCCTAAGCCCTTTTTGAGCCATATTTAAAAATTAGCCTCCGTGAGAAGACAAAAAAGCTTTTGAAAAACATTTATCAGGTACAATTGAGCTGAAGGTTTAGGATCGCTTAACAAGCATGGGAAGCGCCCAAGCAAAAATGGCTGCTCATGTTTCTGGAAATGAACCCCCGCCCAGCCTTGTAGCCGCAGCTCCGGCCAGCCCTGCTGCCTGCGGGCCGGTCCCGACCCTCAGCTGAGAGCTGAGCCGCCCTCAGTGGGACGCGCCGTCCCCCGAAGACGGTCGCTCTTTCAGACACAGGAGTGGCGGCCACGGCCTCCCCTCCCACCTTACCGCTCCCTTTCCGGCCCAGCTGGCCCGCTTCTCTTGTTTGTTAGAAACATTACCTGAGACTTTCTTATCTCTAGAGCAGCAAACGGTGATGGCAAATTAATACCCAGGGAACAATGACTCCCTTTAACACCAGCACAGGGAACTGGATGGGCACAGCTGAGCTGCAGGGGAGGAGCCTCCCTCACCACGAGGAAACGGCAAACTGCAGACTGACAGCAAGGCCCAGAGCAGCCAGAGTAACCCCCCAAGTAGAAACCAGGCCTCGCCCCCGAAATGCGGAGCCAACTGTCTCAGGGTCTTAACTGTGTGATGTTTATGAAGAAGGAATGGCTGTAGGTCGGGGGAGGGGAGCATTTATTCCAAGTGGAGGGTGGTTTGTAATTTTGAGAGTGTTCTAAGTTCACAACCTTGGTCAGACAAACATGACCCACTGCTTTCAAATGCCTTCTGTTCTGAGCCGATGTGTGCACATGTGCATGCATGTTTGTGCGTGTGCACATGTGCACGCTCTGCCTATCACTTCCTTACAGAGACTGTCCAGTCTCGCTTCCCTGTAACCTCTTCAGCCTGTGATCGTTAGGGCCGCATCTCCCACTGGGAGACGGGCATGGGGTTGGCAGTCTGAGTGGGCAGGTGTTTGTTGATGGCCTACTCTGTGCCAAGCACTCGTCTAACACTGAGGGACGGGCCCACGAGTGAACCAAGCACACACATGTCTTTCCGCTGCAGCTCACGTTCTAGTATGAAGTACTTGCATGTTTTCGGGCCACTTGCTGCTGCTTTCCCCCACCCCCCTTGCACTAGCCAGGATGTCAAAGCCACAGAATCAGAGACTGGGTCCCCAAGTCATCACAGGGAGGGAACCTGCTTCTAACTTGTAGCTTCAACCATGTTGTCACGAATAAGCAATAACCTTTTATTGTTAAGCCACTGAAATATTGGGGCTTATTTGATAATGCAACTAATATGATACCTTTTCTTAAAAAAAAACCCACAAAAATGTGAAAGATCTGTATTCTAAGGACTGTAAGACATCGAAGAAAGGAACTGAATGAGACAGAAATAAGTCACGGGCTGGAAGGACACGCACTGTGAAAATGTCTACGCTACCTGAAGCAATACGCAGATTCAGTACAACCTCTACTTAAATACCAGTGGCATTCTTGGGATTAGAACTACTAATCCTAAAATTTATAGAGAATCATAAAAGACCCCAAATATCCAAATAAATCTTGAGAAAGAACAAAGTGGGTGGTATCATGCTTCTTGATATCAAACTACATTACAAAGCTACAATAATCAGAACAGTATGGTATTGACACAAAACATATATAGACCAATGGAATAGAACAGAGAGCCCAGAACTAAATTCCCATTTATAGGGTCAATTATTTTACAACAAAGACAGCAAGGATATACAATGGAGTAAAGACAGTCTCTTAAATAAGTGGTGCTGGGACAACAGGACAGATACATGAAAAAAATAAAACCACCACTTTCCTGCACCATATACAAAAATAAATTCAAAATGGATTGAACACTAAATTTTAGACCTGAAACCCTAAAACTATCAGAAAATATAGGCAGTGAACTCTGACATCACTCTTAGCAGTATCTTTTTGGATATGTCTCCTCGAGTAAGGGAAACAAGGAAAAGTAAACAAATGGGACTACATCCAAGTAAGTTTTTCCACAGCAAAGGAAACCATCAACAAAAGGAAAAGACAACCTACTGAAGGGGAGAAAGTATTCACAAATGATACATCCAATAAGGAGTTAGTATCCAAAACATGTAAGTAAAGAACTCATAAAACTTAACACCCAAAACACCACCAAACCCAATCCAGTTAAAGAATGGGCAGAGAATCTAAACAGACATTTCTGTCAAGAGGACATACAGGTGGCCAACAGACAGATGAAAACATACCCAACCTCGCTAATCAGGGAAATGCAAATTAAAACCACAATGAGCCCTGCCGGTTTGGCTCAGTGGTTAGAGCGTCAGCCTGCAGACTGAAGGCTCCTGGGTTCGACTCTGGCCAAGGGCACGCACCTCGGTTGCAGGTTGGGTCCCTGGCCCTTGCTGGGCACATGCAGGAGACAACCAATGTGTCTCTCACATCAATGTTTCTCTCTCCCACTCCCTCTGAAAAGTAATGAAAAAAATATCCTCAGGTAAGGATTAAATAAATTTTAAAAAACCACAATGAGGTATCACCTCACACCCCTCAAATGGCTCTCATCACCAAATCAACAAACAAGTGCTGGCCAGGCTGTGGAAAAAGGGAGCCTTTGTGCACTGTTGGTGGGATTGTAAGTTGGTGCAGCCACCATGGAAAACAGCATGGAGGTTCCTCAAAAATTTAAAAATAGAACTAGCGTACAACTCACCAATTCCACTCCTGGGTGTTCACCTGAAGGAAACCGAAACACTCATTTGAAAAGACACGTGCGCCCAGCGGTGGGGGGAGGGCAGTGGTGCCTGCACACGACGGGAACGCTCAGCCCCTACGGGACGGGGTCTTGCCCTTTGCGACAACATGGATGGACCCAGAGAGTATTATGTCAGGTGAAACAAGTCAGATAAACACCGTATGATCTCACCAATATGTCGAATCTAAAAAACAAACGCACAGAAACAGACCCATAGACACAGACAAGCTGACGGCTGCCCAAGGGGAGGGAGTTGGGAGACGGGCTATAAACAAACACAGATAAACGGAGCCCCTGCTTCTCGACCTCCGTCAGCGCTCCCGTCAGTTCATTCGTCCCTCAGTCGACCACACACTTCTTGGCTGTAGGGACAGTGTCATCTGCCTCCTTCATGGTATTCTTAGCACATCTCAGAAAGGAGTTGTCACAAAGTCCAGTCAATCAAATGCCTAATTCCTGACACAGAATGTAAAGGGAATGAGTTTTCCAAAGGCCACAGTTTTTAAAGGTGGGATGAGTCCACTCGGAAACAAGAGCATTAAAGTGGTTACATTAGCAAAAAGGAGACAGGCCCGGGCTCAGACCCTTGGCAAGCAGTATTGCCCAGGTAGAACTCAGGAACTTGTTTACATTGTATTTATCTTATTACCTCCAATTAGGGGCAAGTAATACTAATATTCCCTTTACGGCAGTAAAATAGATTTAAGTATAGCGATGAATGTACTTAAAGAAAAATAGTAAGTAAAATTTTAGCTGGTTCTCAGATATGGTAAAAACCACGAAAGTGATACCTGGCTGGCTGGGATTTAAGAACCTCTCTGCTCAAAGCACAGCGTGAAAGAAGCTGAGGTTTTCGGTTCTGTGCCTGTTTGGGCCAAATCTAATTTGAACTCCGTTTTAGAACAATGGCTACACTCATCACCGGAGGGCCCTGCTCCAAGTCCAAATTAAAAATGTTATCAGCGATCAGAGACAAAAATCCAGTATCAGAAGCTTTCGAAGCCCACTGATCGCTCCAACTCCTGGCTTCCTGGAGGATTAGTAACGCTTCCGTAGCCGTATATTTGGCCCGTGGAAGACTAAGGACCTTGGGAACACAGAAGCTACGGGGCGAGCAGTCAAGAACAGTTTTAATCGAGTGAGTCAAGTAATCTTGGGATCAAATTCAAGAGAGAAAATGTGCCTCTCTCTTCTCTGTTAGGAGGGCCAGTCTAACCAGGCCTGGTATCTGCCATCCTGTAGCTCGGCACTGGGAAAGAAGACCCAGAATTAAAGAGAAACATGGGCCTGGGCTTTTTTTGTTTGTTTGTTTTTTTAAATATGTCTTTATTGATTTAGAGAGAAGAAGGGAGAGAGAGAGAGAGATAGAAACATCAATGAGGAGAGAGGCACTGATCGGCTACCTCCTGCACGCTCCTTCCTGGGGATTGAGCCCGCAACCCGGGCATGTGCCCTGACCAGACATCGAACCTCGATTTCCTGGATCCTAGGTCAATGCTCAACCGCTGAGCCACGGGCCAGGCTTGGTGCCTGTTTTAATTCTGCANCTCCTGGGGATTGAGCCTGCAACCCGGGCATGTGCCCTGACCAGGCATCGAACCTCGATTTCCTGGATCCTAGGTCAATGCTCAACCGCTGAGCCACGGGCCAGGCTTGGTGCCTGTTTTAATTCTGCATTCTTCCCTCTGAGACTGTCAGCATCAGCCTGTGCTGATTGTCTCATTCAGGGACCGACTCTTACTGTGCACAGAACACAGCTATTTTATGGAGCCACAATGAACCCCACACCCTAAGAAAAAGGCCACATTATAATAAAACCGGGCACACCACCTCCAGCTTGCTTCACCACAGCACCTTAGCAAAGCCGGGTTTCATGAAAGCAGGA